GGGTGAAAAGCTCGGCAGCAGGGTAGAAGCAAGAGTGGGGCGAACCTAGACAGGATCCTGCACGAGGTGCATTCGAAGAGGAGTGATGGCGGAGTGAGCTCATAGCTCACCCATTTCTTGTTGGATTTAGGTGGGGGAAGAGAGTAGGTTGGGGTTTTAGGTTAGGGCGAAGCTATTGGTGATGTTAGTTTTGGAAGAGGGTTAGTGATATGGGAGTTGTTAGAAAAAGGTGGTGCGCGGCCATGGTGGACGAGGGAGGTGGTGACGAGGGTAGAAAGCTTGATTTCGACAGTTTCTTGATGGAAACGGGCGAGTGAAGGCTCGTTTCCAATATTTTGGGGTAGTGCGAATCAAATGGTGCAGTCAGATTTGAAAGAGGATCAAGGGATTTAAAGTTAGGGGGAAAAAAAAAAAAAAAAAAAAAAAACTGAGGAGGACACAAAGTAAAATCAGAGAATCCTTCCTTTTCTGATCCTCTGCTAACCTGATGATAATGCTACCACCTACACTAAACATTACCCCCTCGAAGTCTTTCTCGGGGTACACACGGCGGCCAGGGAAGGAGAAGGCTCGCTGCACAGTCGGGCACTATGACAGAGAAAAGAGACAGCAAAATAGAGGGAGTGAACTGAGGTATGAGGACTAACCTTCTGGCTGTTGTGTCGCTCCTTCTATTAGCCACAGTTAGCACGAGGGGAACTGTTGTGCCAGGGGAATGCATCGGGACGACATTTGGTGATAAATTCAGCTAATTTTGTTCCCTTGACTAACTCAAGTAAAATGAAGGTCGCGGAGGTCGTGGGTACATACGTGGCTTGGCAATGGATTACAAGGYCGGCCCCCCCTCATCTACTTCAATTGCTGATTGATTCTGGCAGGGCGGGCTGATTGGTTCACAKATTACTGGTAACTGAGCAACGAGCACTAAGTGGGGGAGAATGGATGTTGCCCGAGTACAGTGTCTTATGGCCGTATAAGTTGTGACAGAGTTKGAGAAGATGGCATTRTGGGTTRYTGWSGGAGGAGMCCAGGCGTTACTASGRGARAGAAYAGTTTGGGCTWTTGCCACGCACGCTGTGCACCGTTAGGGGTGGGCATTGCATCCACTGTACATTYTGCTGAGCCGTTGAACGCACGACTAGGCCTGTGAAGTGTGTTGTGTCCATTGAGGCTTGTGCCTAGTTGGCTCGGCGTTGTGAAATGCTTACTACRGTGACATACTTGCTGCTACTTGTATGGACAGGAGATTTTGTTTCCTCTGGCGATCAGCAAAGCTAGGGAGTTACGGGCTGCGGAAGGCTGTTGCTGGCCGCCAGTGACTGCTGCAGACTGCGAGGCTGTAGTACCCCTTTCGGTCCGTGCTGACTTATTGGCCGCCACTGCAGTTACAGCGAATGTTTTGGCAGCCATCGCTGTACGAAGAGAGGCTCGCCGTGGTACTGAGCCTATTGGGAACTGGTGATTGTTGTATTACTACGGTTGTGGGGCCGGCGGTTTGCAGTATGRACATGAGCGCTGCTWAGTGGTGGTATTGTSAARCATTGCWKTGGTYTGCGGCTRCWRCTACATATTGCTGAAGACTGGAGYTGCGRCTGCATATTGCTGTGGACYGAGGCTGGCTGTTGTGCATTGCGGTTGACTGTATACTACTAACCAGCCCATAGGCTAAGTGCGGACTATGACTATTATAAGGTTGTTTACCATCGCTGTTGACCGTTGCCAATGGCTGATGTGTTTGGTGGGCTGCGGCAAGACTGTTGAGCCAGCCGCAGAAGGTGGGATCTGATACTCTGTAGGATTGAGTCAGAGCTAGGTACTACTGTCTTAGGACTGTGTAGTCTGCTGCAGACTGTGTGAACTGTGTATCCTACAACAGATTGTGTATACTGAGGAGAGCTAGAGACTGTGTAAACGGGAGGGGAATGCTACCAACTGGGTGACTTCCGTGGACTGTGCAGACTGTGGATGGTGTAGTATTGGACTGCACATGGACTGTTGTGGCTGCTAGTTACTGTTGCAGCCTGCGGTGACATGGTGGATGGGCTCGGGGAGGTGATTAGGCTTAGGAACGGAGATCGGTGCTGCGATTCGGGAGGATGCCAGGTCTACTTCGGCAGTTTCATCATCATCTTTGACCAAGCTGTCATTCTGGCCGCCATTGCGGGGCCCTCAGGAGCATCAAGGTATCGAGGCCCTCTCCTGCGAGTCTGTGAGCACCTCTCTTGGATCTGAGGGACTCAAATTTTCTCCATCTGCCTTTCTTACTCTAAGTCTAGTCTAATTTGGTTATGAGAGGAAGGCGGCAAGCGGGATTGCAACCCGTAATCCTCGCCAAGGCCTTTGTGGGAGGTACGCCCCACCGATTGCGGGAGCTCTGCCGAGACTCAGGAGGAGTCCTGGAGGCAGGGAACTGACAGGTAACCATTGTGTTTCCCTCTATAAACCCAGTTATAACCCATATCTGTATTTCCCATTGCATCGCCTGACTG